AGTGAAATGGTGAAATGTGCATACCAGCGTATTTCATGTATCAGATATATATTGAAGCAACAATACATAATTATACAAAGCAGACGAAATCTATGGAACTGAAATTCAGGACATGCACCACATATAACATAATCGAACATATACAAAACCTACGACAAAACTAACAGTCACTCGCTGTTTTTATCCTATAGCAAATACCAAAAAAATAAACCACTGTACATAATAATTAACGCACTACAGCACAAGACCGACTTCCTTAATAGACGGAGGAAGGTATTAACACACCGTTGGCTGCTTCAATCTCAGATATGGCATATTTTTGTGAATGACACAGAAATAGAGGTTCCACGAGTGGTGGTTCGTTAAAACACCTTATCATGTTTATCTAACTCAAGTAAGTAAATCTTCAAATTGTATAAAGACACGAGGATAACCGATCCTGAGTGTCTTTAACAATTTGAAAAATTAACTAACGAGAGTAAGATAAACATGATAACTGATCATCACAAGTTTGGGGACCTGTTTCTCCCATAACATTAGTATTTTATTTGAAAAACCATATTTTCCCTGTGGATAATATATCATGTGTTTCCGATGATGGAACAATTGCCGCAGAGCATGGCGTCACAATGGAAAATTATGTCCAAAAGTATTGTTTCGTGATGTCATAAATCATAGATTGACCAATGAAATCATGTCCAGGGTGTCGCCCACAAATGTTTACCAAAGTTCTAGCTGGTTTATACACTGAGACATGAGTGAGGAAACCTACAGTGGTTAAGGGAGAGATCTTTGTTCTTTTACTTGATCTTGGAAGCAACATCACCAATACCAGTTTTAAGCAATTCACAGTGCAAATCAACAAAACAAATTGAATTAGCTGCACATTGTGGTTCTAAAGTTTGAAATATTAAATTAGGTCTACCAATATCCTGTGCTTATAGATTTTTTTTAACATGTTTTCAATTTAGTGCATGTAACATTTTATTTTATACTTTATTTTCAATAATGTTTTGGAATCGGATTTGCCATTAGCACAACAAATAATAACATGATGAACATAAGATTTAGGAGGAGATATTATATTTAGCACGCAGGCTGATTAAGGTACAATGACTGTAGCTATCCCAGTCTACATTTTAAAAGTAAAATATTTTCACTAACCAGAGCATAGGGCTTGTGTATGTATACATACTGTCGACAATATATATATTATAATGGTGCTACAATAAATGACCATATCCTTGAACTGGTGTAACATGTAGAATGGTTCAAGAATTTCTTTACACAAACAGGATATTTTTTAATTTAATGTGCGGTTACCTTTAAGTCGGCGCCCTTTTATATATTTTGGATTTGAAAATTATTTCTGTGGTCTAAATATTGCATGTATAGATTTTGCAAAATTAAGACCTTGCCTGTTTTCTTAGTAAATGGCTGATCAACTCTGCTCCCTTTCACTGTCAATTCTGTTGAAAGTTTGCTGCAGTGTTCCTTGTGCATGTACATGTACTCTTTAAAAAGTAACATGTTCTGAAGGTTTTTATTTTTCTCTACTTTAAATCTTGTGAAAGGACAGGTATAAAGACCCAATGGTCATACAATAAATGAATATTGTTTTACCTTGCCTCAGATGACTGAATATAGAATAAGAATTTTGACAATGGTGAATTTTGATAAGTGTGAAGCAAACATCCTTTCCAAAATTCAGATGTGTACTGTAGTTTTAGTTTGATGACAGTATCAATATTGATAGTATGAAAAACAGACTCGGTAAATACTGATGTATACTGTTGCAGCTGTTTAAAGATTTTCGACTTCAATGTATTTTCAACTGATGTCAATATTTAAGATTGTTTATCAAATATGAATCATTCTTCATATCTCGGAAGACATTTAAGTAATTTCCATGTTGTTTTACTGCTGGTAATTCTGTCACAGTAACGTTAGAATTGTCCTCATATGTTAGCATATTACCTTTGCAAAAATCTTTTTTTTGTTGATTTACAAATGTATATGAAATTTGTATAGTTAAGTCAACGAGCAACAAGGCATTTTTCAGTGCTGTGTACCTGCTAATTTTTGGGCATGTCAGAATACCGGTTTTGGTGTATCATGTTAATTTTCACAATATATTTTATGGAAAGAACTTGTAAACATTAATCCCTCACTCAACTTTCATGAATATTATTTGGGTTTCCCCAGGGATTTTGTCTTGATATCGCCAGTTTAAAAAAAAAAGGGAATTGGTTTGCAATTGAAATCCAAGTAAAGGGCTTCTAAAGGCCACTTTTTTTCTGTGTATAGAGTATATTGTTAATCCTAAGATTTTTGAGACAGTAAGTGCCATTGAAATAACTTAGAGGTTTTGAGTCTGAATAGATCTGTAAAAGGTGGCACTAATTAATACGTGAAGATGAGGAGTACATTGCAGAAAGTTGAATGTTGTTTGATATATATATAGTTTGTCCCATTTCATCAAATAGTATATGTTTACAAAAGAATCCCTTTATGGTCTCCTTGTAATTTGTCTTCTTGTGAATTTGATTAAAAGATGGTTAGTGTGGTTATGCACTCAATTTTACTCGGCTAAATCATATGAAGAGAATCCTTTATATAGATCCCATCCATGCGCAACAAAAAACTCGAGAAAATTATGCGGTTTTCTTTATTTGCACGTATGTGCTTGACCAAATTCGCTTGATCTATCCGAGAAACGTTAACGCTATTCCTGACTACGTAATCTGAGGTTTACATAGAAGACATAACTTTGAGTCGTTGACAACAAGCAGCAGTTATGTGGACTTTAGTTTAATTTTGGTAAGTATCTGTTTTGAGACGAACAGGGATTAATCTAGGCATTCCAAACTTCCATTCCATGTAGACAGTTTCCCATTTTTCCATCAGTTATTATACTTTATGTTTTTTCGGGGGTTTTTCTCCCAAAAAGATTTATTTAATATTAACAGTCATTAGAGATCGCAAATTGTATCATATTGTTATGGTATGATCTTATATATAGATTAAAAGTTTTAAGCAATATTTGTTTACCAAATCTACATCATTGAGGGATAGTATCCTGATTTCATTACCAGTTACGTTATATATAGATGAAGGTCCTGTATATACACCTCAAGCTGTGTTCCCTACAGTTTGTAAAAACAGGTATAGTATAAATTCCCCCAAAAACCTAGATTAATCCCTGTTTATATAAACTTGTTACAGTATAAAATATACAATTTATTAAAAATCTCACAATATCAAGGCTAATCCAAATCATAATCTAAAGCTTACATTGTTGGTAGCAATATTGTAGTTAACATGTAAAAACATTTTTAATCACTTTTACATGTTTAATGAGGATATCACTTTTACATGTTTAATGAGGATATTGCTTTTACATGTTTAATGAGAATATCTCCTCCAAAAATGTAATGAAAAAGAATTTTGATTACCGTATGGTGTGAAAGTACATTGAGATCTCACCGAAGTGTAGAAATTCTGTGTGTAATATTCAGGTGTCTGAGGCAAGAGAAGTAAAGTTGTACTGAAATAGGAATAGAAGTTTTCAGAGATTTTCTGCAAAGCAGAATTTGGGCTGTTAGAAACAAGTCCTTTGTTCTGTGTTCATTGTATTTAGTGTTTTTGCAAATGTTTCTCAGGACTGAAAATAAAAAGAAATTATATGATAAATGTCTGATATTGTATTTGTAATGCATCCTTTAATAGATTCACCTGTAGGGCTGCGAGATTTATTGCTGCTTGTGGATTTAATCAGCATTAATAATCATGTCTTCTGCTGGATTCCAATTTTCTATACAGTTTTTGGAACAATCTAATGTTTTTCATGCCCTTTGATTAAAATCTGTACTTTATGATTTACAGACTGCACTTTAACAACACGACCTAAACATGGGTGGTACCTTTGCAAAGTTATTTTCGAGTTTATTTGGTAAAAAAGAGATGAGGATATTGATGGTGGGGTTGGATGCTGCTGGTAAAACTACAATCCTTTATAAACTGAAGCTTGGAGAAATTGTGACAACCATCCCGACTATAGGTAAGTGTGTTTAACAAAACAAGTTTTGCTGGCGATATGCATGGCAATCAGTTAAATAATACATTATTTATGTTTTTAATAGATCATTTATTTCAATTGTAGTTTCTAGGTGACTCATATTTTAGAGGGGGGGAAATCAGTTTTTGAAAACAAATCTTTCCTACTCTGAAGGCTATATCTAGCT